ATATGATTTAAAGTTTTGAAATAAATTTTGTTATAAAATGTAAGGGATGCCCTATTTTTGAAATGAAGTCATAATTGTTACTTAATATTGTATGTGACTATATGTATATATGTGTATGTTTATGTTTGTATACATACATTATATTTATGTTTGCATATATATACATATATATATATATATATATATATATATATATATATATATATATATATATATATATATATATATATATATATATATATATATATATAGCATCCTAGTCGCAACTTTCTGGGACATGTTTTTTTTGCCATATTTGTATATTTCTGGGACCCGTTCTGTTTTTATCATATTTGTTTATTTTTTTATACTATTATTTTATTTCTATTTTTATTTTTACGTATTTAAATTTTAATATTTTATTATAAAAATATATTTTTTATATTAATTTTTGTTATTTTTATTTATTCATTTTGTATTATATTTTATTTTTAACTTCATATTTAAAAAAAAACAATTAATTACAATAATATGACCAAATTTAAACCTTGCCGTAACCCTGACCTTGATGCCTGGCCCAACCAAACACTCAGTTGATGTAGCAGCACTTCCTTGTGAGTCAGGCTATTTGATAGTCAATGTATGTACTTTTTGTTCTCTATAAAATTTCTCTATATTTCTTATGGGTACATTTTTTTGCAAAAAAAATAATGCTTACGGGGACAAAAAATTAACGGGTACACTAAAATGTCCCTGATAATGCTAATGTCCTCGTAAGTGTTCGTTTTTTGTAAAATCTGTCCCTGTAAGTGATAAAATATACAAATATATATATATATATATATATATATATATATATATATATATATATATATATATATATATATATATATATATATATATATATATATATATATATATATATATATATATATATATTGGGGTGGAGTATATATAGTTATTAAAACTTGCTCTGTGATACAATCAATTACTCCGTAAAAAAAAAATTAATTTAGGTAACGTCTTGAGGTTCCACAACCAACTTCAAAATTTAACCATTTATAAGCATTTACTATCCGGTATTTTTTTATTGTAGTTCACTTTTATACGTATTCACGTGCGTTTTTCCTGTCTAGAGTAAACAAACAGCGTTTATTGCAAAACATTTTATTCATATAAGATAATACTTTAATTCATTTATAATAACAATTCATATTTAATGGCTGTAACCAGGAAAAAAGTATCTTGTGTCATTTTTGATGCTCCCTCTGAAATGCCTGACAATCAACTACCTACTTATGCAGATGTTATGAAGTTTTACAATCTGACAAAACAGAAACTTAAATATGAATTGAACAATAAAGATCCACCACATCACAATGTGGCAGAAATAGTGACAACAAAAGTGGAACAAATATGGGACAAAGCTTCTATACCACATGTAAGCCACCGCCGTGTCCAAGAAATGTTGAACAAGTACTACAAGACGTTCATGAATTTGCTGAAGCCATATAAGTCTAGAAAAGACTCCGGACCATACCGAAAAACTCTTTGACATTTGCTCCTGCAAGTGTTCTTTCATATCTCAGTGTCAGTGTGAAAAGTCAAGAAAGATACCCGCAATTGAACGTGATTTTCTAGAAGATCAGCGGGGTCCACGAGGTATGATCATTGCTAAAGTTGATGAGGCCAAATCCATCAAATTGCAAAAACGATATATTCGTTAAAGAGTTGACACAGAGGCAGATGTGCAGCAAATCTGACATTGATGACATCAGTGAGAAACAGTCAGATGTTTGTGAGGAGTTTTCTTCTACGGAAGAGAAAACTGATGCTAGCGATGACGAATCTGATGACGATTGTATGCCGGATCCTAATGAACAATTTAGAAAGTTGAGTGACAAGCAGATGAGAGTTAAGTTACCATCTCTGGCGTTAGCATGTGATCGACATGGTGTATCCGATAGGGCCGCAGCAGGAATCGCCAGTGCTGTTCTTCAAGATGTTGGAATAATTCACGAAAGGGATGTTTCTAAAGTGATTGACAGAATTAAAGTGCGACGAGAGCATTGTAAAAAACGTGGAACATTATGTGCCAATATCAGTAACACAATCACTGGGCTATATTTTGATGGAAGAAAAGACAGTACAATAACCCTTATTAAAGAATGTGATGGGAAATTTCATCGAAAACTAACAACTGAAGAACATATATCCATTATATCTGAACCAGGATCTATCTATTTTGGCCACATTACACCAATTGCAGGGTCAAGCAAAGTTATTGCGGCTGAGTTGATTGCATATTTGAGTAAAAAGAATGTTGACCTGGGTGGTATAAAAGCTGTAGGTTGTGACGGAACCGTTGCTAATACAGGCAATCGAGGAGGTATCATTCGATTACTTGAAGTGGCGTTGAACAAACCGCTGCAATGGTTCGTATGTCAGCTACATGCTAACGAATTACCATTAAGGCATTTGTTCGAACATCTAGATGGACCTACCAATGGTCCAAAAGGATTTTCTGGTCCAATCGGAAAATCATTGGTGGCATATGAGAAGCTTCCCGTTATCAAATACACACCCATAAACTGTGTTCTACCGACAGGTTTAAATTCTGACGATTTAAGTACAGATCAAAAATATCTGTTTGACTTGTGCACCGCTGTCAGTGTTTGCGTTTGTCCTGTAGGCCTTTCACTTCACAATCCTGGTGTTATCAATCATTCAAGATAGTTAACAATGGCTAATCGAATACTACGCCTGTATATAGCCACAAGATGCCCATCGGATGAATTGAAGACAATGGTTACCTTCATCGTAACATTTTATGCACCAGCATGGCTTGAAATAAAAAATACTTCTTCATGTAAAGATGGCGCTCGACATGTCCATAATACAATACTGAAATCACGCTACCTCACAGACAAGCTGAAGAAAGTTGTTGATCCAGTAATTCAACGCAATGCATTTTTTACTCATCCAGAAAACCTGTTGCTTGCAATGCTTACCGACAAAAAATCAGAAATACGCGAGTTGGCTCTGAGACGTATAATGAAATCCAGGAAGCAGAAGCGCACGAATTCAGTTAGATCTTTCTGTGTGCCAGTAATCAATTTTGAAGCTACCAGTTACATAGACATGATCGATTGGCAAAAAACTCCAATCACAGAGCCTCCAATCGTAATGGACATCCGGGAAGAAGATACACCAAGACTGGATTTCGCCCGCTATCCTTGTCACACTCAGTCGGTGGAGAGGCATATTAAGCTAGTTACAGAAGCTTCCCAAGCGGTTTGCGGTCCAGAAAAACGCGACGGATTCATAAGAGCACGTTTAGAATCGAGATCAAAAATGCCGAAACTGGACACTAAAGCACAACATCATTTGTAGCTATAAAAACATGTTTGACTAGAGTTTTCGTGTGTTTTTCTTTTCAAATATTTAGTTCTATTTACTTGTAACTTTCATATAGACTGTTAAAAATGTATACTGCTACACAAATATGTTGTCATATATAAACTTGAAATTTCAAAAAATATTGTTTTTTATTTGAAATATGCCTATAATTCAGGTCAATTGTGGAACCTCAAGATATGCTTTAAATCGTTTGATTGTTTGCCACATTACTAATTGCATATGTCAGCAAATTTTTATAGCTATCCAACCAAGATATTCAACAAAAAATTTTTCCACTCCACCCTAATATATATATATATATATTGCACACTTAGGTGCACAGTATGACATTAGGTGAGACATTAGCATAACTTGCTGATGAAATATGTTGATATAGGGATAGTTGGGAGCTTCATTACATACTTTAACCAAGAGTTGGGGTTTAAACAGACAGTATCCATATAAGGAGATCTATCAAAAAAAAGTTTTCTTAATTCTTTTTCTTTAGTTTTTAAAAAAAGTTTTTTGTTTAAAATATGGGTTAAAAAAATGTGAGCATTCATTTAATCAAGGAATTTTTAATGATATGATAAATTTTAATATTTTGATAAAAAGGTTGCATGTTGCATAAAAAGACATCTTAAAACAATATCTAAAGAAACTTAAAACAACATCCAAAGTATATTAATAAAAAATGAATGTTGCAAGGAATACAATCTCAAATTAAACATCTAACCTTACTTATGTACTTCATTTATGTGTAAATAATTTTATAACTTTTCTTACATGTTATAATTACAGTATAAAAAATTTTTTAAAGTTACTTTCTAGTTTTCACCAATTGAAAATTACTAAACTTGATACAATCAGTTTTTACCAATTAAAACTTGCCAAAACCTCATTTAATCAGTTTTGACCAATTGAGTTATACCAAACTTCATTTAATCAGTTTGACCAATTGAGCATGTTCAATTGGTCAATACATATGCATTTTTTTAAAGAAGAAAAAACTTCAAATATTTGTTTATAGTTTAAGAAAATAATTTATTTTGTATTTAAAGCCAAAAACCCTGCATATTTTGTATCATTTAATATTTATCTAATGATATTATTAAATTGTAGTAAAATGCAAAAAATTTATTAGAGCTGCTGTGTCATATAAAAACATAGCATTATTACAAAAAGTTCATAAAAAGATAGAAAACATTTGTACAAACACTTCAAAAGCTTTTTAAATTTCGCTTGATTAAATGTTTTTTAAATTAATTAAATATGATTAAATTAACAAAATAAGATAAATTAAATACAAATAAAATACAGAAAAGTTTCTAAACATATCGTTTTAAATATGCTATATCAGCATTTAAATCTAAATTTGAGCGTATTAAATTTAAATCTTTAGCGTATTTTTATTTATAGATATTAATAACTTTAAAGACATAAAGATTTTTGTTATAATCATAGTTCCATTTACAACTTTAATGTTCAGTTTGTGACAAAATTTGAATATATGTTGTTAGTTAATTACTTGTAAGATTTATTAAATCATTTTCTAACAACTTATAAGTAGTGGTTTTATCGTTTTTGAAAATCTTGTTTATTATTAGCATACAATTCTTTAGGGTTTTGCTTATGTTCCGCAGCAAGAGTTGGTTTCAATTATTATTGGAATATACCGAACACAGCTCTCACTTGCTCTTGCAGTATGTTATTTTAAAAGACTTTAATTAACTTTTTGTTTTTTAATTTGCTTTTTTTTTAGGTTTTTAGTTAAAGTTATATAATCTATTTATAAATTATTTAAGTAAATCAATTTTTTCTTTTTTAAGTTTTCCTCAACTAGAAGGTTATTAAAGTTTAGGATATTTTTTTCTCCTATGTTCAAATTGTAATACTTTTTTTGCACATTATAATCTATTGATAAATGTAGTAATAATAAAAAAGTTGCAATTTTCATCTCCATAAAAATGTTTCTATTAAATTGGTACTTTTCCTAATTTATTTGCTATTGATCTAAAAATCTTGGGAATTTCTTTCTTAACTGTTGGTTTGTCACAATAGGAATATTTTAAACTGTGATCCTGTTTTAAAATTAACTAAACTAAAAGTACTAGTCCAAATAAGAAAACAGTATTCCATACAATGAAGAATAAGAGATTCATAGAAGTAGAGAATTGAACAGGAGTAAGAAAATGGCAAGCATAATAGAGAAGCAACCTAAGCAGATATTAACTTAGCATTGGATTGTATACATAATCTCCTTAAGAGGTCAATCAACAAACATCAACAATATTGCAATAACTATTAGCAGTAAACTATTAACTAATAGTTTTGTTTAGGTAAAGTTGTACAACAAGTTTTGTTTGGGTAAAGTTGTCCAACAAGAGCAACTTAAACGCTGCAGTTAGAATGGAATGATTGTATAATTTTAAAAAATTCCTTAGATGCACCATATGAAGTGAACTTACAGAGAAGACCAGCATAATAGAATTTATTAAAAGACTTTGATTTATATATGCCCCCACCTTGCCTCACCGCTGCTTTTTAATGACCATTAGAAACTTTCTATTATAAAACAAGGTTCTGGAAGGTAGAACAAGGGAATGGAAATTTGTATTCATTGTTGGAGAGTTATAATATTCAGGATGATTAGAGATTTGTTAATTCAAAAATTTTGCTGATATTAGAAGAAAACTTTGTTAACAGTAAAAAGACATATTGAGTGATAATTAGAGGGGTCTGAGTGATCTCCATAGTTTTTAAACATTTGATTCACAGACTCAGCAGATAAGAAAATAAAATAGAAATAAACTTGTTAAATTGTTTAAAAAGTAATGAAGTGTTTTGAAGAAAACTTTTGTCTGTAACAGGAATAAACGACAATTTCTTTGTGATTTCTAGGTTTACATCTGGTTATTAGAAGTATATAATATTCATCATTATTTATTTTTCTGTTTTTTTTTTTGTTTTTTTTTATATATTATGATTAGACAAACTTATATATAATACTGTATGATGTTGTTTTTTTTTTCTAACTTATTTATCCAAAAATATAATTTTTTGGACTTATGGTTCCAAAAAAATTTATTTACTAAATATGTATCTAAAATTTAAGAGCTTAACTTCAGCATTTGATTTATTATAAATAATTATTTATTTTAATTATTTATTTTTGCTACAATTGATATCTTATTTTGGTAAATAGTAAATAGTAAAATTTAAACTATCTGACCTAACTGATTGCAATAAAATAATTATCTTTAACTTATACTGTTCTTTTTCAAAAAGGTCTTAGTTTAGACATATTGCACATATATTTAAAATATCAATATGAGAAAAAATAAAGATCAAGTTAAAAAGTTTCAAACTTTTTAACTTGATGAAAACTATTCAACCAGAAACTTTTTACAGCTTTACTGAAAGCTTTTCTGTTTAAAATATAGGTTTGTCTTGCAACTTCTACAATTAAAATAAATTCATGGTCCACAAATTCTTTTATCAGTTGAATCAATGAGCTATTCTTTTCCAATGATAAATATTTTATGTCTCTATCAACACAGCAGAAACAAATTTATATTGTATTATTTTTTAAAATTTGACTGATTCTGACTGACAGATCGAAATATAATTGGAGGGGTCAGAATGTTTACTGGGGTTTTTGAAAATCAGAAGAACAGATGCCTTTTACCAGCAGGCAGGAAAACAAGGCTCAGTCAAGCACTTATTTAAAAGTTCAGAAAAAAAAGAGTTCTGGAATATAATTTTGTAATAAGACTGACAGGAATGTTGTCTGGACCACAATACATATAAGAGTTTTTTTAAGATATGACAATATTTAGCAACAGAAGCTGGAGTGATTTGAATGTTTAACAATGGGTTAACCTGTTAAATTGGAATGAAAAGGAAGAGAATGACCATAAAATTCAAGAGTCTAATTAGAAGAAAGGTTCTTTAAAAATAGTTCAGCTTTATCCTTGGGAAAGGCAATAAGATCAGTCCCATGAATGAGAGATGGAATGTTAGACCTTCCTTTGGTGACGCTGTTGAAGATTTTCCAAAAGTCTCTAGAGCCTAATTTCTGACAGCACCTTTTTATATTGAGTTCTTGTAATAATAAACAGCTGCTTGTTTTCAAGAGAGTTGTTTTTTTGCAAAAGATAAAAAAACTGATTATGATTAGATATAGCTGCAAAAGAGCTGCAAAAACCATGGCGTAGAATGAGGTTTGACTTAAAACCAATGAGAAGGAATAAAAGCTTCCATTCCTGCCTGAATCCAGGAGGTTATTTAGGAGGGGCATTTTTCAGCTGAGAGAAAAGATGTCAACCCAAGGACTGTCACAAAGAAAATCATGAAAAGAATCCTAGTCAGCTTTAGGGTAGTTGTAAGTAGTGAGATGATAAGGAAAGTTTGAAAAAGGAAGTACAAGATGAAAGATTTAAAGAGATCATTGCATGGTCAGAACCACCTAAGGGAGATAAAGGAGAAACTAAAAACAAGCTAGGATCAGAGACCAGACATAAATCAATTAGTGAAGGTAAATGATAGGGTTGTCAGGAGAACTTTAGTGCCATTTAGGGTGATGAGCATTAAAGTCACCAATAACAACAATATTGGCAGAGCGATATGGAGAGAGAGGGCATGGTCAATTAGATCAGAAATTACATCTAAAAGAGTGCAGTTTAGGGAAGAAGGAGAACGGTAGAGAACAAAGAGAAAAGTGGTAGAGTGCAGAGGTGCTAAGTGGAAGCACATAAAAGAATGGTCAAAGGATTTGAACCTGGTTTTACGACAAATAGGTAAATTGATGCATATGTATACTCCCAAGCCAAGCATGTGACTATTGGAGTCTTTGCAAATTAAAGGATAGTACCCATCAATACTAAAATCAGAAGAAGGAATAGAAGAATTTAAATTGGTCTCACATAAGAGCAAGCAAGTCTGTTGAATTTTGTAAAAGGCAAGATTCAACTGTTGGAAGGTTGCTTTGCAGACCACGAATATTAGTAAAAGATATATTAAAACAGTTAGGTGGTTGGTTTTTTATGTTTAATATTTTGGGTTACTTTTGGTATGATTTAAGTTTAAAGAAAACTTGAAGTTAAAGCATCGCCTCCTAAGCATGAGCTATGCAATTGTCTCAGTCCTGTTAATTAACTCTAATTTGTAACAATTGGGCTCTTTATGTAGCCTCAACAATGCACACCGAAATCATTAACAGAGACACCATTCATGCGCAACATGGCACTGTTAATACTCTATTTTGCAGCTGTTAATTGAATAAGCCTCTGAGGGCTACCACAGAGTTTGGGAAACCTTACTACCAGCCAGCCTCAGAACTATTAAATTCAATTTTAGATCTGTACCCTCATTATGAGATAACAGGAAGAGTTGCATAGTAGGGTGGAGCGATTTTCATAGCAAAAAAAAAAGTTTGAAAATCAATATTCCTGAGACACAAATCGATGTCTATTAGTTATAAGATGAAAGTAAAAAAATATTTTTTGATTTTAATGAGATCTTGAGGTTCCTCTTTGGATTCTAAATTCTTGACAGATCCTAATATTTTTGAATTTTTTTTTTTTTCTAAACCATATCAACCTTGGACTCAAAAAAAGCAGAAAAAAATGCTTGTTTTATCAACAATAAATTTATTTAAAAAATTTTCAAGTGAATAAAATGTTTGTAAAAATTTACCTTGAAACCCCCGTTTTGATGACCAGATTTTTTTATAAAAAAAAATGACTATTCATTTTTCTTTAGTTTTAAAATAAAACAAATAATATTTTCAAATTCAGCATATTATTCTGCTTCTTTTGAGTACCAGGTTGATATAGTTTAGAAGAAAAAAAATTTCAACAATATTAGGATCCGTCATAAATTTAGAATCCAAAGAGGAACCTTAAAAACTAATCTAAATTTAAAAAAAAAAAAAGTAAGGTTTTTTTTTTATAAAAAGACATCGATTCGCAGCAAATTTCGAACATTTTTCAAATTGCTCCACCCTATTGCATAGCCACTATTAAGGAGGCACAACTAAAAACCTATGAGATGAGTCAAGAAGATTTAGCATTCATCATCCTCGGCAGGAAACAATGTAACATAATTTTACATCTATGTCAGCTGAATAGATTAAGAAGAGGTTAGAGGCTACTTAGCAGAATTATTCTGCTTACCCCTAAAGTATTTGCCTAGGAGGCCTCCTACAAGACAGTAGCGGGATGCAGTTAACATCTCCCCAAGATGAATATTTTTATCGAGACACAATCTCTAGCCTTTACTCAACCAAGAGCTTCAAAACAGGGGATTTTTAAGTTGGAGTTTATTTCTTCTAGCCTTTGCCTAAAAAAGCTCACTCTACAAGGCAGCAGGGCATGAGGCAGGTAGTACTGGGTTATGTAATACCAGGGTGTTATGTAATAGCAGGGTGATCGTGATGATCCTAAACCTGAACGGACCTGGAGTAATTAAAAAGAGCTACTCCCTGCAAACAGTACTTCAAAACATTGGGAATGATATTTTGGAAACGGACCAAGAAAAATATTACATTTAACATAAAACTAGAGATAAGGGAGAGCATATGTTTTATTGTTGGAGTGTCTAGTCAGTTAATGAGCTCACACTGCATCAAAACAGGTTTAAACATTTTAACAGATTGTTTAAACATTTAAACAGAATGCATAAAGTAGCTTACGAGTGAGTAAACACTGTGCCAGAGGTTCAGACAACACAAACATACATATATAAAGTAACTTATGAGTGAACCAACACTGCGCCAGAGGTTCAGAACGAACACAAATATATATAAACAAACAGAACACTAATATACAGATAGCAACTTATGGGTGAGTGAACACCGTGCGAGAAGTTTACACAGAACACAAACATACATAGAAAGTAGATAACAAGTGAATTTAAACAGTAAGGTACTTCCAACTATATAATAGACACAGAAAAAATATATATATGTATAGGCATGACCGATTATAGGCATGACCGACTTTAAACAGTACTGATAACAGAAAGCAAACTCCTTAATTTAATTGAATTTAATAAAATTTAACTGAAAATTCCAAAAAAAAATTTCAATGCTATCAATTATTAATGCTTTGTGATGATTTTTCAAGTATAATGCCATCAATTATTAGTGCTTTATGATGAGTTTGTAAATTTGTAATGTACCAGGTTGTTCAATAAGCTTTTTCCTTAAATAAGAGATGGCACTATTAGTTTGTTGCTTTGTTTTTCTAAAATTGTTACTACTTTTTATGGACACGTGTGGCGTTTCATGTAAATCTGTCAACTTATTTGTATATTTAATGGTGTTCAAAGTTGATGTATCACAGTATTTTTTTACAGTGGAAGAAATTTAATATAGAGTAGTAATAACATTCTTATTTTCAGAAGGTTTAACCATGGAAGCACCAAAACAAATTCATGATTAATAATCACCTTTCATTAGAACTGTAGAAAGATGGGTTGCTAAATTGAAACGTTTTGTACAAGTCTTGAAGATGATCCATGTGAATGACATTTAAAAAGTACATCAACACCAAAAATCATAGCAAAAATACAGTATATCATTTTGAAAAATACAGTATATCAATTAACTGTACATCAATTAACTGAGAGAGATTTAGTATAAGCTCTAGGCATCTCATTAGGTAGTGTGAACAATATTTTAGCTGAAGTTTTGGGGTTCAATTAGCTTTGTGTACACTTGGTGCCGAATTCACTAATGATGGAACAAAAACACATTCAAATCCGACTTTCTCAGCAACATTTGGAGCCTTTTAGAAAGGGTAAAAAAGGATTTTGTGCGTTGTTTCATCACTATAGATAAGATTTGGGTCTTCCATCATGATCCTGAATCAAGACAAGAGGCTAAACAGCGGTGTGAATTCAGTACTTTGACTCCAAAGAGAGCTAGGGTCCAGAAATTGGCCAAGATGGTGTTAGCATCAGTTCTTTGCGATGGAAAAGGACTTTTGTAGATTACCTTCTAGCTGGTTAAATAATAAACTCAGAATATTGTTGTAGCCTTTTAGACCAGCACACAGCTGGATGTAAAAATTTGTAAAAAAAGACCTGGTTTAAAGAAGAAAAAATTTTTTTTTCTTCTTTAAACCAGGTCTTTTTTCTTCAAGATAATACACTGTCTTATACAGCTCAAAAAACCATTGCTTTAAATCAATGAATTAAAGTACAAATTGTTGCAACATCCACCATATTTGCCAGATTTGGCTCCACCTGACTTCTGGCTGTTCTCAAAAAATTCTTGTGTGGTAGACAATTTTTATCAATGAAGAGGTAATAGCAGCTGTGCAAGCCTGTTTTGACAGTTTTCTGGATTCTCACTTCAGAGATGGAGTCCATAAATTAGAAGATCACTGGAACAAGTGTATTGGAGTTCAGGGAGATTATATTGAATAATAAACTGTATGTCAAACAATAAAACTGTTTTTCTTATCGAACTACAAAACTTTTTGAACAACCTGGTATATTGTGTATAAATATATATTGTATGTAAGTTTCTAATGTATGTATTTTATTCAAAATAATTTCAATGTTTTAAAAATTAAATTTAGGAAATAATTAAATTTTTTTTTTTCTTTTAGATCACATCTAGAAAACTTCCTTATTTAGAAGAAGATACACGTTTGTTACCTATCCTTAAGAATTTGAGGTTAAAATTTATAGCAAAAAATTACCAATATTGCCTTAACTGAGTTAATTCAATCACTGTAATAAAATTTAGGATCTTTAACCATTAGAAGTTTTTGAGATTCTCAGGAACATTATCAAAGTCATCACAATTATTTTACACTTTTAATATTTTTCTTTAAGTTTTCTGCTTTTATATTTTTAAAGTAATGTTTTTCATTTAAAGTATTAAATGCTTTTACAGTTCAACACAAATATTTTGCTATATTCACTAAAGTTACAAATTTTATTTAAATAATTTTATTTCAAAAATACAGTTTGTTGTTGTCATCATTATCTAAATTATCATCATCGTCATCATCATCATCGTTATTGCCATTATCATCGTTATTGCCATTATCATTGTCATTATTATTATCATTATTTTCATCATCTTCATCATCATCATCTTTGTCATTATCATCATCATCTTTGTCATTATCATCATCATCTTTGTCATTATCATCTTCATCATTATCATCTTCATCATCGTCATCATCATTATTACAATCACCATAATTTGTTTGTATGTTTATCTTTTTGTGTTTATGTTTTAGTAATACTTATGTTGGGGAAAGTTTCGATGCTAAAAAAACTTCAGATGGTGAAAAGTTGGAGTTAGCCTCAATTGATGAGGTAAGTAATATCCATTTGTTTTTAAATTTTTGTTATTAGTAAGTATATTGGGTAAGGTGTGGTCCATAGTTTTTATATCAGTTTTTATACTATTATTATTACTAGTATTTGGTTGTGACTTATGGTATTACATGTGTGCGTGTGTGTGTGTGTGGGGCTATATATGTGCGTGTGTGTATGTGTGTGTGTGTATATATATATATATATATATATATATATATATATATATATATATATATATATATATATATATATATATATATATATATATATATATATATATTTAAACATCTTCGCTTCCAACAAGGCTGCAAGCAACCACTAATTAGTGTTGAAAGTTATGGGAAGAGAAAAGATAAAGATTATAGAGCAAGGTAATGATTGATGGATGACTTAAAAGATTGCAAATTATATAAATCAGGAAAGCAAGATTAAGGAAGCGAATTCGAATGAACTGATATTCGAGGAAAAAAACTAGAGGAATAAGAGTTTTTGGAGCACTAAGGGACAGTCACAGAAAAAGGATGAGACTTGAATGACGAGTAACACAAGAATGAATTTTAGTAGATGGTATAACAGGCACTAGTTCTTTAGAGCAGTGCCCATTATATTTAGAAAAGAGAGTAGAAAAGAGAAAGAGAAGCAACATTACGACAATGTGATAATGGTTGAAAGTTGGCTGCAGGAGCAAGTCCAACTACGTTTACAATTCGTTTTTGCACCTTGTCTAAAAAAGAAAAGGCATCATTAAAACATCCGCCCCGGATATGGCAACAGTATTCCATACAAGGCCGGATTTGAGATTTATAGAGATAGAAAATAGAATTTAGAGTAAGAAAGTGTTGAGCTTGATAAAGAGACTTTAGCAGATGCTAATTTTGCAACGGATTTGATATATGATTTCCAAGAAAGATAAAGAAGTAAGAGTTTATCTTAAAAGATGAAGGGTAGATGATTCATTGAGTACATTACCGTTCATAAAAAAAGTTATTTGAATGATCTTCAACTGGCTTGGCTGGAATAGATAAATTATCTATAAAACGTTTTTATGTCACTAGATTTATAGTAAGCAAATTACCTATTCTTGGGAATATCTAATCAATATTTTAAAAAACCCAAGTTTTATTTTAATAATATTGATTTCGGTGCACTAAAGTAACTGATTATTTAAAAATCTTACATTTTAAAAGATAATTATAAATGTGTTTTTAAATATTTGTTTTAAATATAATTAAATAGAACCATCATTGAAACCATAAGAATACTGTAATAACCTACCTCTTACATTCACTAATTTTTACTTATAAAAAAATTTAACATTAAAGTCTGCAATTTTCTAGCAACTTTAATTTTTATGTGCCTAAAAACATAATACTGTTTATTACAGCTATGAATACATACAATATCAAAGCTTAAAAACATGTAACACTTTCTTCCTATATCATAGTACATGTAGTACATATGTTACAACATGCAGTATATTGGTTAGTATATGTAGTACATGTCAGAATATGTGGTACATGTTCTGACATATGTACTACATATACATGACATATTCTGACATATGTACATATATATATATATATATATATATATATATATATATATATATATATATATATATATATATATATATATATATATATATATATATATATATATATATATATTTTAATTTTTTGATTTAGAGTTCAAAGATTTCTTTTCCTTTGTGCATGAGAAACCTTCATGAAGGACTACGAAAAGAGCATCATCTAAAGCATAATGGAAGATTACAGTTAGGTTTGTTTGTTAAGGTGAGTTTTAAGTTTATATTTAAAAAAATAAATTTTCTTTATTTTAGTAATAAAATTCAGTTACAAGTAATAGATTTTTTTTTTGAAATTATTAAATTTTTTTCAACTGATTAAGATAATGATAATTCTTTATGTAGTTTGTTTTTTATATTATTTAATTTATTTCTTATTATAATATTTCTTATACTTCTTAATTCTTATTATACTTTTTAATTGTGATTTGAATAATAAATGGTAAAGTTTATTAATTTCAAGTTTTCAGTGAAATTTAAGAATAAATACTTTAATTGTAAGTCAGACAAATGACAAACTAATTGATAGAGGTTCAAGTTCTGCTGTTAAAGCAAGTCCAGCAAACAACATTATTAGATAAACCATGTTTATTGTATTTATATGTCTGAAATGAGGTGTTTAATAAGATGGTTAACAAATTCAGGACTAATACTAAGAGGAGTGGGGAACACAGAGTTGAAGAGTGTGGAATGCAGAGTGGAGGAAATAAACATTAAGAAAAAATTGTAAAGCTCTTTGCTTAGGCATCAAACAATTACAAACTATACTGGGTTGTTCGCCGAAAAACAAAACTTGCTAAAATTTCACATCTTTATCTACCGTAATAGAATTGTTATTGCGGAAGTTTCACATGCGAAAATGCACATTCTGTAACGCACTATACGAAAATATCAATAAATAAAATTCCGTAATAAAGCATTGCAAAAGAAAACTTGTGAAACAAATCATTTCGTAAGAATACTTACAAAATAGTTCCTTACAGAAGGAGCATTCCGGAATGTGCAGTTACAAAAAAGACGCAAAAGATTTTATGTTACGATATATTTAAGATATAAACTGTTAACAGTTTAAATAATAAATTATAAAATTATAAAAAAAATGTTGTTAAATGATTCTTGAAATGTTTATACAAATATACATATATATATATATATATATATATATATATATATATATATATATATATATATATATATATATATATATATATTATATATATATATATATATACACACACACATACATATATATACAGTAAATTCCCATTAAGTTGGACAGATAAATAGTACCACTTAGGGAATGTCAGATTTAAGCATAGCTCTTGGTATTTATAGAACGTTCAAGGAAAATTGAAAAACTTTCCAACTTAGTAAAAGGGGCTGTCCATAATTGATGTCTGTGATTTTTCTCAATTTTTAAACCCCTCTCCCCTCTTTGTCAACTTTTCGCAAAAACTTTCGCAAAAAAAAAAAATATCCCCCCCCCCCCCTTCTTAAAGTAACATTAAAGATATGTGTAAGCACCATTAATTTTTTCTGGTAAAAAGATAACAGAATTCTACTGTATATACTCATTGTTTTTTTTTATAAACATAACGCTTATAGGCTAAGATTTGGAAAAAAAATAAGCATATGTAAGCATATTCCTGAGCCTTGATAAACCATTTAAAAAATTTTATTTTTATTTAATTAAAAACTTTAAATAGATATATTTCTAAATTTAAACCAACAAAAACCAAAGTTTATAACAACGTTAATTCAGCTACATTAAAACCAAAACAAAAATACAGAGCATAAGTCAACTTTTTATTTTTTTTATACCCATTAACCTTTAGTAACGTGACACTTTTAGAAATTATTGAAATAGGTATATTTTATTAGAGATATGCTTAAGCCTAAGCATATTTTTGAACCTCTTTTTACTATTTGCTTAAGCATATTCGAACCTGTTTTCAAAAATTTCATATGCTTTAAAAAAACAAAAAAAAACATGTATATTCCTACCCATTATTCTTATATTTGCTATACGTAATGAGTTCAAAAAACATCATTATATATATTTATTATGGCATGTTTCGTAAGTTTATTTCCGTTAAGAACTCTTTCGTATGTTGTGATGCAAAATACTTTCGTTTCGAAAGAAATTTTATTTTTTATCAATATTTCTAAAAATAAAACCATAAAAATTTAATGTCATTTTACTCAAAAAAAAAATTCATTATAAACATTTTGGGATTTAAAGATGTTAATTTCTACAATTAAAATCTGTCTGGCAAACAAATTTTCTCTATAGACTTCAAAACGTCGTTTGGCAAAAATGTTTGTTTGGCAAGTGCGACTTCCGAAACCGCTAATTTTGTATGTTGCAAAATAGTTTTATTTTATATGTCAACTTGCGAAATGCTAAATTTTGGAAGTAGCATCGCAAAATGAATATCGGCGATATTAAATGTTTTGTAACATTCGGTACGAAAAAATATAATTTCTCGTTCTCAATCTCCTTACGAAAGAATGTTGTTTTTCTGGAATTGCACGAAATCCTCCGGTTAACAACCCTAAACTATACCAATATTTAAACATTGCTTATGTGTATGTATATGTACTTAATATTGTATATGAAATACATATAATGTTTGATGTAAATATATGAAATTTAATGTAAACATATAATGTAAATATATGAAATACAATATTTTACTAATCTGATAATACACAAGGAAAGATAATAAGATCCTATAAAAATAAAAGACCAGAAAAAGACATCAGAAGTCTTATTGTTATTGTATAAATATGTAAATTTGAATTTAGGTTTTTAAGTTCGTGAATTACTATGAGTTAAATATTACTTTAAAATATTTTTGAGAATTTGATTTTTTATTTTTTTGAGTTTATGACTTTTTGGTAATGACTAGTTGTTTTTTCTATTATCACATTAATAAGATTACACTAGTTTTCATCTATTGCATGGGTTTTTTACCTCTCCTAAAAAGAAGTTAGTTATATGCAAAGAACCTCTTTATTTTGTTTCTTAAATCTAATGACCAGACAACATTCCTGACACATTACTGCAAAATAATTCTTCAGATGTCTCTTTGATTTGCTCAAAATATTTAACAAGTGTTTTCCTATCCGCTGAAAAATGGCATTTGTAATTCCTATTTTGATAACTCTTGAAGTTGCGATGACTGTCATTCTAGTCTTTTTTTTTTTTTTTTTTTTTTCTTTTATTAGCTAGACTTTTAATTCTTAAATAAACAGAGATCTATTTTTTACTTACAATAGTTTTTTACAAAATAATTTTCTAATAAGAATTATAACAATTTTTTAATCCATTTTTTCATTACAGTTAACTTTTTTTCAATAGTAACTTTCATTTTTTTTATTGCCATTTTTACAAAAGCAACAGACAACTTTCTTGAAAGATATTAGTTTTTTATACAAATACCTGCTAGGTTTCTTAATATGCATTTTGCAAGGCATGCATTTTAGGAATTTATTTTGGTTTTATCTTCATAATAGATCTCAATTTGTTTCTAATGATATTTATATTCATTTATTGTACAACATATATTGTACAATATAAATTGGTACAAAATATATTTTTACTATTTTTCAAAAATTTTTTGCCTATCTCATTTTGTCTTTTTTTTCATTTAATTCAATTGTATTTCAATTACGTTTTTTTCAATTATAAATATCTATCAACATATATGCTTGTTTATATGCTTATGGCGACAAAAACACGTCATATTAAAAATCTTTTCAGTTTACATTATTTACATTATTACATAAATAAAAATAGTTACTCAGATAAATTAAATGAATGTAAATAGGTTCCCAAAAAATGCAAAATTAAAATATGTGAAAATAAAGAAAAAGATATTATTTTAAAACTTTTGAAAATTTACAAATAAATATAAATAACTACAAAATAAATTGTTTTTTCAAAGTTATATTTAGAAGTTTAACTACATGGTAAATTCAAATCATTAAATTTCGCAAACTTCTGCAGTATTGACAGCAAAATTTTGCTTATTGATGAAGTCTTATTCGTTCGTCTTGATTTGCTTCCTTTTTCAGGATTGATGCCGAAAAATGCACTTGAACGTTCAATAATATATGTATAAGCAATTGATGTTTGAAAACATTCTCATCAATAAATAAAAAATACCATTAAAATCAAATGCAATATAAATTTTAGAAAAATTAAATAAATTTAATTCAATATAACATAAACATAATATATCGTTAACAAAATTCTAATATTGATGAAGCTTCTTTTAGATATGGTATATTGAAAATATATAAACTGGAAAACAAAGAACAAAATAACTTGACAAAATTGGTCATCAACCACAACAATGCAATCAATTACCAGCATGAATCGATTTGCTGTAAATAGCAAATTTCCTAAAAAAAGAATGCAAGTTGACCTTACGAAAATCCACTTAAGTAAATGTAAAGAAAAATGATAGAGTTCATACTTTTTTAGCAAAATATGTTTTAAGTTTTTGATTTTCAAAAACTTAAAACATATAAGAACTTGTAATTCAACATACCATAAACTTTTCATCATCTAATGCTTTTATCAAGAGTTCACCAGCATTCACTCCACACATTAAAACATCAAAGTGATGTAGCAAACCATCAAACTAAATATAAAAAATCAATTTAAATACAAAGATATACTAAAACTAAATAAAATAAACTTCTACACAAATCAAATTGAATACTATAAAAATGAAAGATCTATTTATTTATCATTATATAGATTAATATATACTGGTTAATAATATAAGTTATTTTATTTTTAAATAAAAAGAACTTACTTTACTGTAAATAAATTGGAGAATTTTATCAATAAATCATTTGACAAGATCTTTCCATTTATTTTAGTTCCTTGTAAATAGTAATGGAGTTCTTTAGGGCTGTTTGAAACACTGAGAACTGGTTCTCGGTTTAAGTAAGATAGTCATAATGGTTAACTAATTGTAACGTTAAACTGTCATGACCCCTACCAATTACTGTGGGACCATATTCATCTATAAATAATTTGGAATATTTGGTATCCATTGAAGATGCAATTACATCTAAATATTTTTTAATGGTGTAAGCAAACAGGAAGAACATCATTCATAATAATGCTTATAGTTGCACAACGATGTGCTGTTGAAGATCTTTCTCCAGCTGCAAATATACCCTGTGCCTCTTTAAACATTTTGGCCCAAGGTACAACAAATCTCAAATGCCAATCAGCAGCACTTATATGTTTAATCTTCATTGCTAGACAGAATTGAAACTATATTTAAAATTGAGCAATTAAATATTTAAAGAACACTTTAAATTAAACATTTTATTACTTACTATGTTTTATTAACAACTTTTTTTAATAATTTACTCAAATTAGTTGAGTTATTTTTCACTTCAACTGTGGGCATCATTTGCATGCTGGATTGTGTATAGATATTATCTATATCACTAGCTGTGATATAGATAATATTTATATCACAGCTAGCTTAAGAACCTAGCTAGCTAGGTTCTTAAGCTATATGATATAGTATATATACTGTATCATATAGCTGAATATAGTTATGATAGCTTAAATATATCTAAGATATAGCTGAACAGCTATATCTTAGAAATATCTTTAATATAGCCTGAAGCTTCAGACTATATCTTCGAAGATATCAAACACGCATTTTATATATTCAATCTTATATCCTTATATTATAAATAAAGTGCAACAAGAAATTTCATTGAAAAAAATTATATAATTTTATTAATTACAGGATCAATTATTAAAACATATACAAATATTTCAAATAGAAATTAAGAACTAAACATTAAAAAATATATATGGCACATAAAATCTCTCCAAAATTTCACAGTAATATACCGTGAAGTAGTTAAACAGCGCCGTAAATTAGTGTTCACGGCCAAGGTATGGTAATATTAACGGTATTGTACCGTAAAACGCATTAATGGTGCAATACCATGTAATCACGGTATAGTACCGTGAATTTCACAGTAAAGTTTTACAGTGTACACCAAAAAAGAAAATGAACAAAAAAGATGAAAAGTCATTTAAGTCTTTTATCAGCATTTAATAATAACAAATAACAGTTATCAATAATGAGCAATAACAATATCAAATTAACAAACATTGCAATAACAATATCAAATTAATAAACATTTCAATAACAATATCAAATTAATAAACATTTCAATAACAATATCAAATTGACACCAAAAGAATTTAGTGATATATTTTTATTAAACAACATCAACACAACTATCAACAACATTAGGGTTCGGTGTCAAAATAAACAGAATAAATAACTATATCGACTTTCATATTAGCGAAAAAATTAGAAGAAAAGACTAAACATTTTTATTTTTTAACATTTTGTATTTACTATACTACTTGTATCTTATATTAAAAACATTTCTATTCACCAGCAATGGTAAAAGACATAGTCATAGACATAAAATAGAATTTACAGAATATAATATAAAAGAAATACAATTTTTAGAGGAAAAATAGTTAAAAAATCTAATTTTTTTTTTATGAAAACAACTTGAATTTATTTACATATTTAAAAGTACACAATTTATATATCGATTTCAATCTAAGATTACTAAAATAAGTTTCAACATTAGTTGAAGTTTAATAAATATCTACTTAAAAATAATTTGTGAGTATCTCTAGTGTAATAAACTGTTTAAAATAAAATAAAATATATAATCATCAAAATAAATAAAATATATAGCAAGTGATTTAAAAAAATTTTTAATTTATTATATTTTATTATATTTTTTATATTTACCTAAAATTAATTTTTTTGTTATTGGATTTTTCATTTATTTTTCTTTAAACATATTTTTATAAAATATGATTTTAGGCAGCTGGGTTAACCTTAGATGAAGCTTTGCAATACTGGAGGACTGAATTCACAAAGAACATGGATGTTGAAAAATTTGAGAAACAGTATGCATATAATATTCGTCATAGTTATGGTAAAGAAGGCAAACGAGCCAATTATACCCCTTACAGTTGTCTGAAAATTATAACATCCAACCCTCCTGGTGCAGGAGATTATCATGGTTGTCCTTTTAAATACAGTGATGCAGACATACTTCAAAGAAGACTTCAAACATACAAGATTCCAAACGATGCAGTAAATGAGGTATTGTAATTTTTAAATTTCATATGTTTTTAAAAAGTGTTTATTATTATATTAATAATTAATACTTCTACATTGTTATCAGATTGTTATTAAAGCATTTAAAAAAAAGTAAAAAATTTTAAAACTGGTGTAGCAGGTAAATATTACCTAACAGTAATTCTCACTGTATAGGTAACCTGAAGGTAACTAACACTGTACAGTGCACCCTGCCTTGGTGCTATTCACTATACATTATTTCATATATTTTAGAAGACCGCCAACCTCCCTCAATCTTAGAAGACTACCAACCTCTCTCAATTATAGTACCAAATTCATTAGGGAAAAGTGGGGTGCCATATTTTCTGGAGCATCATAAAACATCGTTGTGAGGCATCTTAAGAGTTATAAAAACAAATTGATTGATTGAAAGAAAATTTAAATAGAACTAGAATTTAACTAATAAACATTAACTAAAGCTATTTGATAAGTCATTAGATATCAATAGGCCTGTAAAAGGTAAAAATTTGTGTTTTTTCAAAAACAATGATTATTATAGTATTTTATTATTTTTTAAAGTTACTAAGTTTTAAAGTATTCAATGTCTCTTATTGCTTCAGATTATTAAACAAATTGATGAAAAACAGTTATTTGCTATCTATATATGTATAAATGTGTGAGAAATAAACAAACAGCAACTTAATACATCATTTGTACCCTTCGAAACTGTATAATAGTACTTTGTTGTACTGTAAACAATAATTATATTAACATTTCATTAAATATTTATAACTATTTCAAATATTATGTAGATATATTACTAGGAGATCCAATTTTGGTACAAATTTATTTACACTCTAGAAGGACCTATAAGAAATTGAATTACCTGCTTCCTAAAAAACTTGATTTGGACCATTGATTGTGTTTAATGGGTAATAATTGTTAATAAAACACTTTTTTTATATTACCTTTAAAAGAAAGATGCATTACAAAAACCCAATGTGTACTCCATTGTGCTCTACTGATTCTTATTTGTTAAAATTTTGTTGACATTAAACAAAAACTGATGTTTTAGAAAATAGTAAAAAGAGGCCAATGAATAACAACAAACTATACATACATTGCACAGTGAGCATTGTATACTAGCAATTTTTTGTTTTTGTTTTGCTGGCAGTTCTCTAAGTGAATTGATAACAGGGTCATATGTTATTAAGAACATATTCAGCAAACCCATATTTGTTGAAATACTTGACTTTTTACTGGATGTTCTCGAAAACAATTTTTATTTTGTGCTTTTTAAGATTCTTCCAAGAGTTGGCCAATTAGAAAAACACACAACTTTATAACTTCTGTACTATGCATTAAAATATTGTGCACTATTACCACGAATATAAATCTAAATATAAAGTCCTAGTTTCAGAACAAATTTTTTCAAATTTGATACAATTAATGTCACAAAATAGTGTTCTTAATAAAAAATATTTTAATTGATTTAATATCTAATCCTCTAATCTCTCCTCCCTTTTCTTTAATGTCTCTGCTGTTTCTTTAATCTATCTGCTGTTCTTTAATCTCTCCGCTCTTCTTTAATGTCTCCGCTCTGCTTAAAATAATTATTTGCTTATTGTGGTTTTCCCCCACTCTATTTTGGTGTATGACAAAAAAATAATTATGTTGATATTTATGTTATTTCTATTTTGTTTCATCTTCATTATTTAGTAAGCAGAAGTGAATAGAATATTAGAAATTATAATATTATAGAAATAAGTTTTAAATTATAATATTATAGAAATTAGTTTTAAATTAGGCATTTAAATATACTTATTATATAATATACTTAATTTGCAAATTTAAATAGATATGCTGATTTAATGAACTTTCTTATTACTTACACAGATTTCCACTGATATTGCTTCCAATAGGGTGGACAGTTTCAATTAAAACAGACTAACTTTAACCAAAGCTATATTATTTACAAGAAAGTTGTTTTTATATAAAAAGATTTATTAAAAATACATAAGAAATGAATTTAACATAAATTGTTGTTCTTGTTCAATGTCATTGAAAATTTTTTTTAAACATAATTCTTTTTATTCTGATTTACTTCCAACAAGGCTTTAGCTGATAGAGAAGATAAGAGATGATATATGATGATATGAGATGAGATGATAACTCCTTTGAGCAGTGATAGTATTTATAGAAAAGAGAAGAGGTGCAACTTTACAACAATGGAAAAGAGGCTCAAGCTTAGCAGATAGAGCATGTCCTACTACATTTACAATGCATTTTTGGACCTTGTCTAGAAGAGAAAGAGCATGATTAGAAAAACCAGCCCAAATATGGCCACAGTATTCCATATAGGGACAGATAAGAGATTTGTAGAGGTAGAGGATGGAATCAGGAAAGAGAAAAGGCCAAGCGCTATAAAGAGAAGCAACCTTAATAGATACTAATATAGCAATCAATTGTATATATGGTTTCCATGAAAAGTCAGTAGTAAACAATAATCCATGAAGATGTAAAGAAGAGGACTCAGTGAGTATTTGCCATTTTTTAATATAGCAATGTCAACAGTACTACGGTAGTTGTTTGCAGTAAATAACTGAATTTTGTTGGAGTTAAAATTTACAAGCCACTGTGTACCCCAATATGTTACAGAAGTATGATCAGATTCAAGATTGGCTGTCTGTTCTAAGCGATCAAAAAGAGAAGACTTTTTGTCAAGACAGGAATATAAAGTTTAGTCATCAGCAAAAAGAGCTACTTTAGATGTAAGGTTGTCAGGAAAATCATTAATGTAGATAAAAAACAAAACAGGACCAAGGATAGGACCTTGAGGTACCCTAGAAGTGACTGGAAATAAAGAAGAGTGTTGGGCTTCAAGGATGACTTTAATAAAGCAGTTAGAAAGAAATGATTTGATAATCTCAAAAACTTTCCCAGATACACCGTATGAAATAAGCTTATGGAGAGGACCACCATGACAAACTTTGTCAAAAGCCATAGATATGTCAAGAGTAATAGCCCTAGCCTCTCTGCCTCCATCTAATGCACAATAAAATCTTTCAGTCACATCAGTTAGCAAGTCAGCCGTAAAGTGAGAGAATCCATTATGCTAACCAAAAAAAAAAGAAAGATTTAGTTTTACTAACTAAAACTTCTATAGTTTTTACAGGTTCGAATTTATTATCAGACACCTCATCACATGTTTTTAGGAGTAATTACAATATTTTTTTGAAAGGTTTTATGTTTGAACTGTGATATTTGGTGTTTCACCATTACTTTGTTTTAGCTGTTAAAGTCCTTTATTAATACATATTTTAATAACTTGATATGGACTTTTCCAAACAAATTTTTCTTCATATCTTTTTTTATCAGCCATCCTAAAATTTTTTTACATTCTAAAAACTAGAACTTGATCAAATAGTCTAACTCGCTTTCAGACCAAATCGTTTACCTTCTCTACTTGATTTATGTCTTGTTTCTGATCCTAGTTAGTACTTAGTTTCTCCACATTCACCTTTAGGTGGTTCTGATCATGGTTTGATCTCTCTAAAACTATTATCTCATTCCTCTCCATCATCAGAATCCCCCTATCATCGTACCTCTTAAACTACCTTAAAGGGATCCCCAACTGCCGAGGCAAGTTGTGTTCATATAAAATAAAATTTAAAAAAAAAATATTTGGGCTAAATTTTTTTGATTAAAACTATATAATGAATGCACACCATTAAATTTAAAATTCAAATTTTAGTCGAAGCTCACCATCTCCATTTTTTTATGGTTCTCGGAGTCTGTATAATTTAGCCGCAATCTGCAGATTTGATAATTTATTCAATGCGTGTTTAATTCATAACAGTTTTGGTATATGACGTCAGCGTATAAATTTTTTCCTTCAAGATGTCGTATTATTGTTTTGCCAAAATCACCAAATCATGTTAATTGCATAACTTTTTACTAAATCCCAAAAAAAAGTTTATGATGCAATTAAAAATTAAATTTATAATATTTATAAAAATAAAAATTTAATAGATAACAAATAAATACAGTAAACGTAGTGGTTTAAACTAAATACTAAAAGAATAATTTTACAAAAGCGTATAAAATAATTTAAAGTATAAACTGAAAAAAAAACGAATAAAATATATGAACTTGAATAAAATATATGAACCAAACTAAGTAGAAAATAAATATTAAACAACTTATTTTACTAATAACCGTTCAAATCAAACTAAATTAAAGTTAAAACAAGTATTTGTACTAAAATATACAAGAAAGTGTATAAAATATAAATATAAAACAAAGAATCGCATTGAATTGTTTGCTATCAGCCGAACAAAAATCTTTTTGTAGCAACCGCACAATTTTTGAATAACATTTGAATAGCATAACATTGACAATTAATTAAAATACGATAATAATAAAGTTTTTAACACGCATCATTAAACAATAATAAATGCAAAGTGCTTAAAACTATTGTTTTTGAAAGTAGTAGCTAAAACATTAAGTCCAAAACAAACCTCATTTAATCAATAAAAATAATATTTTTTCTTCAAAATACTTTGGTAATTACTTAACTAAATACTTAACACTTCTACAAGTTAAGTTTTACAGTGTTAACGATTTATTTTATAACTAAATTTAAAGTTTTTTTCTAAAGGATCCTTTAAGATTTATTAACTTTGTGATAACTTTTTTATAATTACGCATTATAGCTCTTGTTTTTTCTTGATTATGATTAAACCTTTAGAACAAACAAATTCTATGTGTCTAGAATGGTAATTTATGTACAAAACAAGATAAATTGTAAAGCATTCTTGAAAGCCCCTACCAGTGGCTTGCGGTAGTGAAAGAAATGTAAATTAAATATAAAATGAACAACTGTATTGAACCATATGAAAACGAAAAACCACATCATGCTGCCTTTATTTTTTCTCTGCCTGCGAAATAATCACAAAATATGTATGTGTCATTATTATGGCTGGCTTCTACAACAAAGTAAAAATTAAAAATTTATAAATATA